CACTGGCACGCTGCCTGGGCGCGCTGGTGCGGACTGGAGGCACTGGCACGCTGCCTGGGCGCGTTGGTGCAGGCTAGAGGCGTGATGAAGATCGCGTGTCTTGACTTGGTCGATAAGCCGCTCGTGCGCCTTGAATTGCCGATGAGTGCTAATACGCGCGTCGACGCCTTCGTACTTCGCGATAGGTGTGGAAAAAAATCTGATGTTGGTCCTATTTCTAACAAAATCTAGTTCGTAAACTCACAAGACAATTTTGAACAAGTGTTCGGTTTTTGTATTAATTCTTCAATGATCAAATTAAATGACAAGAGTGCATATTTATAGATGCTAAACTAGTTATAGTCCTATACTAACTAGAAGTCTTTATGCATAGAAATAAATAAAGTCCTAAGGAAAGTAAATATCTAGTAAATAAAGATTTACCAAATCTAAGTAGGCACACGTCTTTTAATCGAAATTCTAACCAAACTAATAATCCTAATAATGCTAAGTAAATCGGCCCTTGGCCATCTAGAAAAATCTCGGGCCCTTGCTTGCGCGGCACTTCACCCGAACCTTAGCCGTCACGTGCTAGTCCTTGCCCTGTGAGGTCTCGGGCTCGATCTCACCACACGCGTCCCACGCGTTTCCTGCCTTGTGCCCCAAGTTGCGGGGATCAACCCTAGGCGGCGCGGTATTCCTCGCCCGCCAAGGACTCGCACTCGTCAGCCATTGCGCGTCCCGCGCGCCCTGCCCATGCTCCACGCGGGTTTTGTCTCGCCACGTGCGCGCTCCCTCAGCCGCGCGTCATCCCGCTCGCAAGTGGTCAACACATGACCCTCGGCCCAATCGTAGAACCGTCGACCGCACCCCAAGTCCTCATCGTCCATCGTGTAGTCGAACCACGCGCTTATCCTCTTTCGCGAGCCTCTCGGACCCTTCGTCAATTCCAGGTCCTTGTCTCGCTGGACCACCTCGCGTGTTCCTTGGCTCACGTGCGTGCCCAGTTATGCGACTTACGCGTATCGCGTGCCCACGCATCTCATGCGTCTTTCTCGTGCAGCCTCCTCGAGCCTTCTTAGCACAGCTTCGGCGGTCGTTCCACCCCCTTATGCACCTTTTCTCGTGACTCGAGCTCGGGTCTTCCTCGGGCTCAGAGGGGTCGATGACCACATCTTCATCATTCCGGCCCCCTTTAAGCACATACTTGTCCTCAAGGATTATGAATTGAAGGCTTTTCAGCTCGACTGGTTCAGTTCCTTCATCAGTCGTGCACAACTTGATTCGCTTTTTGGCTCGTTCAAACTCCATAGTGCCCTTCTTAAAATTTGTGGTCACGGGCCCTAGCATCTCCAGCCATTAAACCCCAAGCACCACCTTGGGTCCTTCTAGCTCTAGTCCATATAAGTCCACCTTCAGCTCTTCACCTTGCACGAGTATTGACACCTTTTTGTACAGCTCCGGACTCCAAAGTTCCTCGCCGTTTGCGACCGTTACTCCAAAAGGTATGATCCCGGTCATAGGGACTTCGAGCTTTGCGGTGAAGTCCAGGTTGATGGTTTGAGGGTCGAACCGCTGTCGACTAGCACGTCAACCTTTTGCCCTAAGATCTCGGCTTCAAAACTCATCATCTTCGGCCCTTTCTTTGCCTTCACCATGTGCATCATCTCCAATTAGGGGTTCACGTATAGGTGCGGCCCTTGTTCGTTCTCCTCCTCGGGATCAAAGGACTCGAGAAGGTAGACTTGCTTCCCTTTGCATCGGTGCTCGGGTGTGAATGGTTCAGTGCACCAATAGCATTGTCCCTTCTCTCGTCGCTTTTGCATCTCCTCGGGACTAAGCCGTCGCATGAATCCCGGAGGTCGCGTCACTTCTGTGGCCTTCTCGCCCTCGTGTTGCGACAGCGGCACGGAAGCCGTGTTTGCACGTCGCGGTTCTGTGCGTACCTCGCCGCGGCCCATCTTGCGGATTGCCACCAAGTGATCTTCGCGACTCCATAGCAGCCCTCATCGACCGTGGCCTGTCCAATCGGACCTCGGCAGCCAGCTCGGCTTAAGCCCTCCAATGAACGCGCCGATGAGCGCACTCTTGGGCCAATCGCGTACGCGACTAGGTAGGCGCTCAAACTCCTTCTGGTAGTCACGTAGACCACCTCCTTGGCGTATTCGAGATAGAGCCTCGACATAGTCATAGTAATCACTAGACCCAAA